TCGAAATTTAGGGCTTTTCTCTGCAGCTAGCGAGCCGGGTAATTTTGGGCGGCGTTGGATAGAGAGAGGGATCTTTCGGGTGAAGGATTTCAGAAGGGAGGATAACAGGGGCTGGCTTACAGAAGGAGAGATGAGAGGCAGATACCCCTACTTGAGGGACCTGGGCACGAAACTACACAGCCTACAGACAGCAATCCCGCCCCATTGGCTAGAGATGCTGGAGGCCGGGCAAGTACCGGCGAAAGACAAGTGGTTTCGGCCTGCGCAGGGCGCCGCCCCAGAAGGCACCTTCTTTAGATTGATTGAGAGTGGTAACTCTAACCCTCCACTGCTGCAATCGTGGACTGCAGAACTCAGTTGGGCGGAAGAGGCTCCACTCAGATTCGAGTCAGAAACCCCATGCACAGACTTACCAATTTTAGAGGAGTGTAGAGTTGAACTGAATGTGGATAGGCATGGGATAGCCCATCCGCGGGCAAGATTCAGGGGATCGTTTTTGTCCGCACTTAAGGTAGATCCCACACGTTGGTTCAGGAATACAATGCTTCTGCAGCGTAGTTCTACTATCCCTATGCATCACTATTCTTCTAAGGTTGGTACTGGCCTGCTGAGAGAAAGAGCCCTCACTTCCCCCTATGAGGTAGTTTGTAAGCATAGGCGGGAGCTGACATATCAGGAGTACGATAAAGCCACACAAGAGAAGCATTGGCAGCTTTTAAAGGAGTTACCTTCAGAAAAATTGGGGAGCCTCCTGTGGCAACAGTCATTGTTGGTCATCCCGACTGCAGTTTTTTTGTCTAACAGAGGTATGGAAGTCTCAACTACGTGTCTCCGATGTCAGTGGCCATGGGAAACTAATCGACACCTGTGGTTGGACTGTCCCCTCTCTAAACGGATTTGGGGGTGGTGGAGGGTGCACTGGTCCAATCTACCTTGGTCTCACTTTGATTGGACAGAGGAATTCACGCTTTCTGGCATTCCAGCAGAGCAGAACAGGAATGATAAGGCAGCCTGTTATGTAGCTCAGACCTTCAGAGCAGTCATAATGAGGACCATATGGCATCAGAGAGACTCTCTCATCTTTCGACAGGAACAGTGCGAAGAAGTCCAGCTTAAACAAGATTTGAAAGCGTTATGCAGGCTGTGCATCTGGTCGGACTGGAACCGACAGGCCAAGAGAGGCTATGCTAAGAAAGGCACGGCCAGGTTTTGGAAGACATGGGGCAAAGATTATAGTTTGGTTAAGCCAGGGCCAACAGGGGGCCTGACCATGTCCTCTGGCTGTTTCAGAAGCCGTCTTAGGCCGACTATGCCAAAAGTGTTTCTGGCCCATTATTTTAGATTTTTAGGCTCTGGTCGCTTTAGTGCTAGTCCTCTGATAATGCTTAACAGGGAGAAGCTGGTCCAGTTTCTGGTAGTCTTCTTCTTGCTTCAGGTACAGGGCTAGACTGTTCCTTTTAACATTTTGGAGATTTTTCTTTTCGGTGAGGGACACTGGACCCGGTTTCCAGGAGCCTAAAGCTGGGTAAAGGCCCGAGCATGTATTTGTGTACCGGGTTGTTATGTGGGGTGTGTTCCCGGGCCCCTGTTTCTCGTAAGGAATTAATGTTTTCTCCAAAAAAAAAATAAAATAAAAAAAAATAGGGCTATTCAAATAGAACGCATATCGTTGCATTCGAATAGAACGCATCCTATGTCCCGCATTCCACACACACACACACACACCACCACACCACCACCACACACACACACACACCCCACACCACCACCACACGTACACACACACACACACACCACAAGGGGGGGAAGAAGGTAGTACACGCCCCCAGCCTTGCGGTCCGAAACTTGTTGCCACAAGAAAATGAGGCCGAAATGTCAAACGCTGGGCCTGCCGTTGATAAATTGGATTGGCGGTAGCCTTTTCGTTTCAGCCTTCCAGAATTCGAGGTGTCAGGCCTGCAGCCCAGGTGCCCATGTACTGGTGCTTTAAGAAGACCTCAGAGCGGGTACACACTCAAGAGCACTTGAACCACCAGTACTTCCTAAAGTAATGCCCGTTAACAAGCCACAATTTTAGGAAACGTACGGGCCACTACAGGAGCGCCCAAACTCATCCGACTAGAAACGTTTCTACTCTATTTTTTTCCACTGTTGCTTGCTGGGCCAAATACTGGTGGTTTAAACCTATGGACCTGAAAGCGGTCCTGGATAACTCTACGATATGTTTGAAGCCAGTTGCAATCAGAAATTAAACCCAGCTCATCTTTCTAAGCCCAGGCTTGTGTGAACCAGAAGCGGTTTTTCCTTGAATTGACCTGGAATCTTGCCAATTTGTTCTGATGGATAAACGAATCAGGCTTTTAACCTGCCCTACTTGACTCTGGAAGGATGCCTGCTCCCCCCTAAACGTGGCACTGTTCCGTGCTTTCCAGATTGATTGTAGTAGAGCTCCTCTGCAGGCGAGTGCCACATAACCCCAGCCAGTAGTTAAGTCTGTTCCACTGAGGGCTTATGATACGCAACCTCACGCCCCCTCGCGGTGTCCCGTAGGGGGTCGCCGATCAGAGTTCTAGGAGGGGCGTGGCCGAGGATTTTTGGCCGTAAGGGTTGAGTCTCCCGGACGGAACGGGAGGCCCTCGTTTCATGCCAGAGGTTTTCCCCGGGGTCGAACTGTCGCCACGAAGTCCCGTGGGGGTCGGATCACTCCGAGACGATAAATTCAAAAAGGTTTCCACAAAAACGAACTGCCGTCGTGCATCAGGACGGGAAAAGGCATAAGAAGGGGCGGGGGGGGGGGCATGGCGGTGGAAGACAAAACTTCGGCCGTCAGGGGTTTGGGGGATAGGTGATGGGTTCGAAGCCTTTAGGCCTCATCCTCGGTTCTCACGAAGTGGCCGAACCCTCGGGTCTTTGCTGGAGAGGTGGTTGGTTCGACGCCGTCAAGCCTCGGCGTCGGACTCACAGAGTCCGCGAGAAAGTTTCCGGGAGGGTGATGAGGCGGGAGGACTCGTCGGCATCCGAATTCAAAACTGCGCGGGCAGCATCCCCGCACTACGAGAAAGCTCAGGGAAACGTGTCGCTCCCTCGTAACCCAGGACCAGCCATCGCCAAGAACACGAGTCCCCTTGGCGACACCAGTGACAATCAAACTGCGGCCGCCACGCGGCGTGAGCGGCCGACCAGGACAACACCGTTAAACCCGTGTAAGGCAATATTAGAGTCGGGGAATCAAAACAATCGATCAGGACAAACCCATTCCCCCTTGTATCCCACGCCCGAGGCGGGTCCTGCCAACACACTTGCTCCGTCCGCCTCAGCGCACGCCGTACGTCCGCATCGCAGTAAACGCTGTCGTCATTTGTGATGGGGAAGGTCGGTAGCGAGATGAGACGGTCGGAGGTACTCGATGAACACGGACAAGATCCCGCGTTCCCGGTCATCCGAACCAACACCGAATCCATACAACAATCGACGCAATTCTTCTCTCTTAAAAGTGGGTGCGTCGAGGGAAGATGATGAACTTTAAGCTTTCTCCCCTTGCGGGGGCGTCGACCGTCCGGGCGGACGCAGGCGGTTGACGTCACCGGTACGGGGAGAAGAAGCTCCAAGAGCGATGACTATCAGTTCAAAAAGGAGGGCGAGCGAGAGACAGAGAGAGAGAGTGTGTGAGTTACTCCGAAATCGCGCGCGAGCGCAGGAAAGACCACTGAGGGGAGGGGATCAACCGGACCAACACACTCGTACTCCTAAGCAGACGGTCCCCCAGTTCAGTTTCCCCATCCCCTCCCGGACGAATACATACACACATACATGCATGCAATCAACAAACTGTGACAGGACATCTAATCATCCATGGACCTTCGACATCACTCGTGCGTACCACCAACTCCCATCACTCGGGGCTTCACACACACGACATGCATAGACAAAGCAACAATGGAGATAAAAGCGAGTCCTTCTTGTACACAAAAAATTCAATTAACTGCCGCCCCCAGGCGCAGCCTTCAAAACTCCCCAAGACCACCGACCACCATAGCCACAAGGCCCTTCCGCGGCCGACGTCCAATCCCCACCACTGCTCCGTCCCTCCGACTGCTTCGCCCCGAGACTACCGCGGGTCCACCCCACGTCGTCACTCCGCCCATCCTTGGGCTCGTCGAGCCTGTTCGACGCCGCGGACTCTCGCGCATAGCTCGCGCAACATTGCAGCCGAGATCAAAGAGAGAGAGAGGAGAGGGTTGCACGAAATTATAGCGCGGGAGGCGGCGGGTTGTCAGCGCGAGGTGCGGGCAGCGCAGGTTGTAGATGAGCAGGACAGGAGGAAGGTGGGGAGTTAGAGGGTTCGACCCGCGGGATGGCATTGTCCTACGTGATTGGGGTGTCCGTTCAAGTGGCGCATGGTTTCCCGCTCTCCACATTGATCCGAGCATCCCAACTACGCAGCCAATCACTTCACGGGGTAAGGATCGAGCTGGGCGGAGGGGAAGACGAAGAGTCCGTCATGGGAAAATGCGCGCAGCAAGAAGGGAAGATGGCGCGAGGAGGCAAAGCAAGAAACGGGGATGCGAGACGCGCGAAGAAATCGGAGCTTGGGCGCGCGCGCAAAAATTCAAAAAGTCCCAACCGTACCCGTTTCTTGGTTTTCATACCCCGACCGTTATTCGCCTGCGGGAGTTATTAACCAAAGAAAATGAAAAAGCCGTTTCAAAAAAAAGAAAACAAAAGCAAAAAGAAAGAAAACCCCTTTCTATCCGCGCCCGTACTTCGGGGCTTCCGCGGGATTTTTCCCCAGGGATACGGCAAGCCGCGCGGTACGGATCTGAGCTTATCACATCTGTGATACGCAGGGGGTTCCGAAACATTAACAGTCTCCCGACCGCTGATGTCATCATATCTTGGATGATCGGGCGGCCTCTTCATCGTCAGCTGGCCCGATCATCTTCCTAATCTACGTGGATGCATCCTGCATCCTCCATCGCCTCCTCCCATAGTATACATTCGATCGGGCGRCCCCTTCATTGTCAGCTGRCCCGATCGGTAAGTTTTTTTTTTTTAAAGATATACACAGCGAGTATCATCRCGCGAGCTTTAGATCCGGAAAAGAAGAAGAAAAAGAAAGAGGCGGTGGTGGAGATGATTATAGGAAGTAATCAATCTCCGGATTGAGAGGGGGAGGAAGAGGAGGAAGAAGCACCGCGAGCGCGGCCAAGTTGGCCGGCACTTCCACTTCATTGATTTGGTGTTGGACAAAGGAGGGGTAAAGGAAAGCCCCCGACACATGCGAGAGGACCCGTGGCGCGAGATCGGCGATCGCTCGAATGATTCGTCGTCGCAGCAGCCGATTTCGCGGACCCGTCAGAACTAGATGGGTCTCCGTGTACGGCCTCCGCTCCCGCTTAACCGCCGCGAAGACCAGGATATGGTACATAATGTTGGGCCGCCCGCCGGTCTCGTAGATGAGTGTGCCCACCAACCTCGCCGCTATACATCCATCGAATGGAGGCTCCAAGAACGCCTCCCATGTCAGATCGGGACGTGGCGCCCCCTCGATGGCCTCAAGCCGGAGGGTGACCAGTTCCACCATGTGATCCACATCGGTTTGATGGACCGTCCGGCTCGGGGGAACTGCTAATGTCAATGAACGGGGTATCCCGGGCAGGCTGGCGAAATCGAAACGGTCCTGCAAGGAGGGGGGGTCTAGATGCGGGATATGGAACTCGTCCCAATCCCCCCCTGCGCTTGATGGCCCGGCTGCATGGCTGTTGAGATCGGGGAGGCGGGGCCGCTGAGGTGTCGACTCCSGATGGCCTGTGGATCTCCGCGGCTCTTCGGCGAGGCGGTCCTCCCCCGGTCGGGGCTCGATGACGAGTGTGGCTTTTCTCTCGTGAACCGGATGGACTTCGCACCCCAGCGCAGGCTGGACGACCTCCTCTATAGGCCCCACTCGACTGGCCTGAGCTTCCGGCGATGGACTTCGTCGCCGCTTCGGGACGACTCGCTTTCTTGGTGCCTTCAAGGCCGCCGGCTTTGGATACGATGATGGAGGCCGCAGCGGCTTATCTTTGTGCCCGAAGTCCACCATGGACTCCCCTTCACGCGCCAGATAGTCAGGTATCATCGCCACGTTATACGATCTCCACGGAGCTCAGGCGGTCCGTAGTCTGAGCTGCAAGTCTTCTTCTTCCGCGGTGATTACCTGCGCAATTGACACCAACTCGATGTGAATGAGCTGTAAGAGCCTCGGGCGATTCGTTCCGATCCTCCCAAAAGGATAAAGCGCCACTGTTCCCTTCTTTCGCTCCGGCTTCGGCTTGGCGATCACGTAGTACACGTGGAGGAATTCGCCGACGTTATGAACTTCGTGCTCCACGAAGAATGTGAACATGCCCAGCACCACCGATGAATACAGCGCCCGATGCAGCTCCCACGCGTCCTCGTCGGCGGGCGGCAACTGCTCCACGTCCGTCAACTCCACTAGGTACTCGGGAAAGTTGCGCATAGGATAGGGGAGCTGCGTCAGTTGATAAGGGAGGGTAGTGTAAGAGAAGAAGGGAGACATTTAGAGAGAAGGGGGAGGGACAACTTGGATGTTGAGGGGCTCGGCGGGAGGAAGGAGCGCGGGAAGCTGCAGCACCAATGCAAGTGCTCCCTCCGGAGTCCGCCGCAGAAGTCCTTCGTATGCAGTGAAGCGATGAGTGCCCCGAGCCTGCACTCGCGCTACCGATCTCGCCACCTGAAGGGCGTAATCGCGCAAGAATCTATACGCCGGCTCCCGATCGTGCCCGGGCAAGACGGTCAGATCCCCGGTGAGAGTAGCGACGCTGTGCACAAAGTTCGTCGCCACCTGGATGGCTCGAAACTCGATGAACACTCGCGTGGATTCCTGGCCAAGCACGGACGATATGTCCACATAGACACCTGCGTACGTCACCCGCTGCGCGAGGAGCGAGTACACCGCCAAGTCGGCAACGCTGGGTGCCGGCACGTTCACCTGTTGAATGTCGAAGCGCAGCTACTGATCGTTGTTGAACCAGTTCCGAAGAAGAGCATCCGAGATGGGCGGCTGAAAGTGCTCGAGCAGTTCATGCTCCTGTTGGCGATGGTTCATTCTGCGAGGCACGGTCTTCTGCGGATGCCGACGACGCCGATCGGAGAGAAGGGGAAGAAGGAGGCGAGGACGAAGGAGCACGAGATGGGGACGAAGAAGGTGATTCGGGTAGGACAGGTGGCCGCACTTGATCTAGCGATGGCCGGAAAGGCCGGAGGGCAGCAGCGTGCCTCGTCAGCGGGTGGCCCTGTGAGTTGTGCCTGGGGACCAGCTTCACGGAGTGCTGGCCTCGTGCGCCAACTTCCTTCACTTCGTAAATGCCTGTGTAGCGTGGGTGGACTTTTAAGGAGTGCGCGTATTTTTGTACCTGCACCAAGTCCCCTATTTTATAGCGAGGCAGTGGTCCCGGCGACGCATGTCGATTCTCGTAGTCACGGATCTGCCGTTGATGTGTCCGATCTACGGCCCGCTGTCGACGACGAGCTAACGGGGGAGGCCCTAGCCATTAAGTCTACGTAGTGGCGGACCTTCTCTCGGTTCTGGGCCCGTGTTGCTCTAACTTCCGTACCTACTAAGGGGGACAATTGCACCCGAGGGACACTATTGGTTCTCTGTTGAAAGGGGGACACCCCGGTACTACCGTGCGGGGTGGCCCGATAAACGGCCAAGATGTGGTCGACAATGACCGGCCAGGGCCGGGTGTCTCCCGCAGTGATATTCCGTCTAAGGGCRGTCTTAATCAGTCGGTTGGCATTCTCCACCAGGCCATTGGCTTGAGGCCAATGGCCCGGCGAGTAGATAATCTTAACGTCCGCCCTGACTAGGTGACGTTCTACTTCGCCTTGAAATTCCGACCCATTGTCCATGTGTTCTTCTTCCACGTCTAGATGCATGCACAAAAATCGATTTACGTACCAGGCTACCTCCTGCGAATTTTGGCTAGTCATCGGGTACGCCTCGATCCATTTTGAAAAATGATCGACGACCACTAAAAGAACATTGAGTTCTCCCTGATCGACGGGCCCTCTCGGAACGTTGATATCCGTCGTATCGATGCTAACCCTCTGAAAAGGGCGCTCTACACGAGTGGGCACCATCGTCCGAGGCATCTGTACCGGCGCCTTGTCCGCCGCGCAGGCCGGGCAATTCTGAACAATGTATTTCACATCTTCCCGAATTCCCGACCAGTACCATCCGTTCTTTTCGATGATTTTTTTCGTGTACTTGACCGCGAAATGGACCGCATCCTCCTCATGAGCGGCTCGTGTCCAATCGAACCTAGCGAGAGGGTGTGGAACCGTCAACCAGCTAGACCCTCCGTCATCATCGACTTTTCATTTTTGTAACGTCGGTCCTTGCAACGATAGTCCAGTGCCCGCTCCGTGACTCTCCGCCGTTCAGCTTTGGTAAGTTCTGATAGCGAGTTGCCTGACAGTCTCCGTAGCAACAGGAGGTCCGTCTAGGCTTCTGCCCGGCGGGCACTTGGCGCGAATCTGTCGGCTGTTCTAGCGTCCAGATACCGCTTCTCAGTAGGGACTTGGTCCGTTCTACAATTGGGACAGACCCATGTCTTTTCACTTCGGTACCTAACGCACTATCCGTGAGATTTGACCGTATGGCACCGACTACACTGTACCCATAAAAGAAAACTGGGCCCTCCCGGATGTGACCCTTCTTGGTCCGGGACCATAGGCAAAGTACAGAAGAAACAGGGGCTTAGATGCGTTTCAGGGGACGAGTAGGGACTAGACGAGAGAGCGAGGGAGTTGGATGAGGGCAAAGAGATCGTGTCTGCCATCTCCGGCGAAATCTCCATTCCGAATTCAGGCGTCGTTCTTGCGCAGCACGTGTAGCTCCCCGTAGTGCGGTTTCGTCGCTGCAACTTCTAGCCTCCACGGAATGAGTCGCTCGTTGGCGGGACACTTGTTGGGCGGCAGGAGGCGCGTCAATCCTTCGGCGTTACCATGCTGCCGCGTGGCACGGTGGCGGATGTCGAAGTCATAGTCTTGCAGGCGCACCGCCCACCTGCCCAGCGTCCCCGTGTAGTCCGTGTTGTTGCGTAGGGACAGCAGCGGTTGATGATCCGTCACCAACACGAATTTCTGGCCGTAAAGATACGGTCGGAAATGCTGGATCCCCCACACCACCGCCAGGCATTCACCTTTGCACGCTTCGTAATTAGCCTGCGCCTGGCTCAGTGTCTTGGACGCATACTCAATGACGTCTTCCCTTCCGTCCACCCCGTGCTGAGTCAGCACCGCCGATATCGCCTGAGGCTGCGAGTCTGTGTACAGTGCGAACGGTCTTGTCGGGTCGGGGCGCGCCAACACAGGAGCAGATGTCAGAGCCTCCTTCAAAGCCTGAAACGCCGCTTCGCATTCCGGCGTCCAGATCAGCCGTTCCTCTTTCTTCAGCAGGTTCGTGAGGGGCTTCGCTATACCGGCGAACCCCTTGATGAAGCGTCGGTAATAGGATGCCAGCCCTAGAAAAGCCCGAACCTAGGTGAGTGTGACCGGCGCCGGGGCTTCTTGAACCGCCGCCACCTTCCTCGGATCCGGTTTTAGTCCATCGATCGTGACGATGTACCCCAAGAATGAGATCTCCGACAAGAAGAACTTGCTTTTCTCCAAGGCCACTTTGAACCCCGCATCTTTTAGTGCATGCAAAACCCACTCAATGTATTCCACGTGGTACTCGTGTGTTTTTGAAAAGACCAAAATATCATCCATGTACACAATCACGCAGAAATTGATCAGGGGCTGGGTCAGTCGGGTTTTGTTAACGAACTCAGCGAAGGCCATATTCATGGTCACTGAAATGTTGCAGGGGCGTTACAAATTCCCATGGGACACCCCGGACCCATTGCCACGTGCCCTCAAATAGGACAAAAGCGGTTTTGCGTCGGTCCTCCGGTCGGACCGCGACGTGGTGAAAACCGTGTCGGATATCGAACTTGGAGAATATTCGAGCGGCCCCGATGGCATCCAACAAATCGTCGATTCGCGGCAAGGGATACACATCTTTGGTAGTGATAACGTTCAATTTTTGATATTCGATACATACCCGGACCGAACCATTTCGCTTTGGCACGAGGACCACGGCAAAAAACCATGGTCCTAACGATGGTTCGACCCACCCCAACCGCTCGAATTCCCGTACCCTTTCCAACGCCAGCTGCGTTTCTTTAAGGGAATATCGGTACGGTCGGCAATGTATCGGGGCGTGATCCCCGGTATCAATCTCGTGCTGTATCAAAGGGGTTAGCCCTATGTCGTGGTCCTAAATACTGACGGCCTCAGGATAGGCCCGTATAACTGCGAGGAGGAGGCGTCGGTATTCCTCCGGAACACGGGCTGGTAACTGAACTTCTACGGTTCCCCCAGGAAGGGAGACCGTCGTCGTAACCGTGGGGACCGCCGCGCTGGCCTCGGGCGAGGCCCCAAACAAAGAGTTGTCCGTTTTTGCCGAAAGGACAGTCGCAATAAGTTGACTGTCCGCCAGACTCATCGGCTCGCTTTCCATGTCACTATCACTGTCCAGTTCGGGTTCGGTCGAGGGTGCTACCGAAAAGGCCTGTGCCAGTTCCCTCGGACCCCACCGATACTCCCTTGTTCGGGGTTGAAACGACACCCCCTCTTTCAGAAGTATCGCCGTTTTTTATTCGTGAGTAGGGGCCGTGGGGGTCGAAAAGATAAATCGCACAGCCCCCTCAACTCGGTACATCTTTCAGGTAGGGGGTCCGTCCTGAGATACAAGGACGCAGGGGGTTCCGAAAGGTCAGCTATTCGGGACACCCTTTGCAGGGGTCCCCCCTGCACCACGGAGGAGAACACGTGCGACCGATTGGACTCGCTCCGAATTATTTCCAGTGGTTCTCGCCGCCAAGAATGGCGCCACCGATCCTGAACTCGGATCGGATATCGGTCGGGTACATTTGTCTTGTCAGTTTCCGTCGAGGGTTCATTTTCGCCTGGTGATAGGCGTCGGATCATGTTGATTTGATGGGCTTTCGTGGTGAGGCGGAGCGCCGGCTGGGTACGCATGCGCACCGCCAGTCTCATTAGTATCGTTTGGGGTTTGGGGTGGGTCGATGTGAGCACCACCTTACAGCTGTCAAAGTGCATTCGCGCTCCGACCGCCGCCTGCCACGGAA